CCCCCCACAAAGTGGGGGTATTGGCTGGCGTCGCATGAAAACCCTGGCACTGGTGAGAACACTGAGCGTTCGGGTAAAGTGATTGTTGTTGTTGTTGTTGTTGTTGTTGTTGTTGTTGTTGTTGTTGTTGTTGGGAGGGCCGTTGTGGTGTCCCCCCAAACCGCTCGAGTGTGAGCCTCATTTTCAATGAAAATGTAGCCGGCGCCGTGGCGAGAGCGCCAAAGCGCCCGGGGGGGCCAACAACAATCATTTTTAGTACAACAATAATTGTTTAGTAGTTATCACTCAACAACAACAACAGCAACAGCAACAACAACAACGACAACGACAACAGCAACAACAACAACAACAACAACAACAACAACAACAACAACAACAACAACAACAACAACATCGCAACAAGCATAATCCTCTCCACGGATCCTCACTTAAGCCACGCACCCAGGGACAATGAATGACCGTTCGGCACCCTCTGATAATAAGGAAGGATGCGCGGTAAGGATGCAAGGGCCTTGGAGGGCCATGACGAGTTCTTTCGAACGCGGCTGGCCAGCGAAAATTGCCAGGGATGGGCCGAAGGGGCAAGGATGCACCCCCCCACCAGCCAGCTGCCCGACCGCCCGCAGCCGCACCGAAACGCGCCCGGACAGCCCTCACGGACCCCGCCCCCCCCCAAACGGCTCGAGGCTCGCCGCGGCTAGGCTCGACGATGCTGGGCTGTGCCCCGAGTGCCAGAGCCTCCGACTTCTCGATTGCACTCTAAGTAAGCCGTGCTCCTGCTAAGTGAGCTTCTGCTCTGCTAAGTGCGCTTCCGATGTGCTTGATCCTGTTGCCAGCCCCGCCTCCTGCTACTGGTGTTGCACTGCAGTTCATGCCTGGTTGCATGGGGAGCTCTGAAAAAACGACTCCACCTCCCCCTCCTCCTCATCCTCCTCCTCATCATCGTGCTCCTCCTCTCCCTCCTTCTTGGATGCATTCGAATTCAATCATTGCGCCCACGCCGAGCGCCCGCGCCGAGCGCGCGCGGAGCCCTCGCGGAGCTACGCCACGGGCGCGGGAGCCCCGCCGAGGCGCCGGGGCGTCAGCGCGCAGCAGGCCTGGCAGTCGCTGCTGCAGAAGCCGAGCTCGTGCTCCGACACCGCGCCACGGCGCGCCGTGCTCTCCCGCCGCGCGGCGCGCCTCGCACGCCGCGCGGCGTCGGCGGCGGCGCCGGCGGCCCGGGAGTCTCCGGGGCCCGCCGGGGCCGGCGCCCACGGGGGGAGCTCGCCAAGGGAGAGGGAGCACTCCGACGGGCAGGCCTCCGAGAGGGACTTCGACGCGGCCGGGGTCGCCGTGTCCGAGTCCGAATCCGGCGCGGTGGCCAGCAGGTCGTCCTTGCCGCGCAGCGGCCGCGTGACCAACTTTGTGCCGCCGGCGCTCCTCCCCACCCCCGCGGGGCGAGGAGAGCGCACGTCACAGCCGGGAGCGGGGCCCGTGGGGGCCGTCGGGAGCGGGAAAGCGAAGATGTCCGTCATCGCCAGGCCGCTGCTGCAGCGAGCCGTCCTGGCGAGCCCTGCCAAGAAGCTGAAAAGGGTCTTGGGCCAAAATGGCTGTGGAACGGCTGCTGAATATGCTGAGACTCGGGCGTACGACTTGTGTGTTGCGAGGGCGGGTGGGAGTGAGCCAAACAGTTTGCGCCAGGAAGAGGTGTGCTGACCCCTCCCCCATCACTACCCCCTACCCATGAGTCTAGAGGGGCGGGGAAAGAGGGAAGGGGGCGGAGCGGTCATAGCGTCCAAGATGACCCCAAGAATGCTTCAAACAGCCCGAGATCGCCTCCAAAATCTTACAAAATAACCCAATGTGGGTCAATGTAGCCGTAACCGCTCACATGCCTCCAGGAGGGCGCAAGATCTATGAAAAAACCGTTCCAAAGGACCACGGACCCCCCTGAGCGGCCACAACCACTCCAACACTGGCAGGGAACTCATATGTTGTTGTTGTCGCACTTGTTCGCTTTGATGGGCTCTTGATCCCCCAACGTGGCTCCAAGAAGACCCAAGACAGCCCCAAGACGGGCCCAAGAGGGGCGAACGACCAGATGGCACACGCAAGCGGAATAGCGCCCCAAAAGGGATCCCCTATATTCAGAGTGAGGGGGCCAGGCGGTCATTCACTGTCCCTGGGCGCGTGGCTGAATGGAGGTTCTGCGGTACGGATTACTGTTGTTGTTGTTGTTGTTGTTGTTGGTGTTGGTGTTGTCGCTGTTACTGTTGCAATTGCTGCTGCTGGTGTTGCTGTCCGCGACCCACCCGCGACCCAACCGCGACCCACCCCGCGACCCGCCTGCGACCCACCAACGACCCACCCGCGACGCACACGCGACCTGGCCCGCGACACACCCGCGACCCACCCGCGATTTTGGATGAACAATGAAAAATACACCACAGATCGTCAAAAATATTTGAAAATCGTCAAAAACTCGAAAATGGTCCCCAGACTAATTGTGCACAATTTCTGAATTTTCGTCCTGTAGAGGGACAGGCCCGACTTAAGACTGTGTCTGAATTTTCCTCCTGTAGAGGGACAGGCCCGACTTCCAACGCAATGGTGGGGGGGGGAGGGGAGGGGAGGGCGGGGCAGAGCGGAGGCAGGAAGGGGGAGGGCGGAGGACGCGGAACGCGGCCTCTCCTAAAGGGCAGAGAATCCCCCCCCCGAAGAACCACCCCGACACGCGAAGCCGTTTAGTAAACGCACCCAAAGAATAATCAAGCAGGGCAGGGCTGTTTAGTAAACGCCCAGGGCCGTTTACTGAACGCTCCCACTGAAGGAATCGAATAGGGCAAGGCTGTTCAATAAACGCCCAAGGTCGTTTAGTAAGCGCCAATTGTCCGGTCCGGGTGGTTTTCCGGGTGGTTTTTGCTCCGTTGATCTCGAGAGCTGGGCCCACCACCACAGCAGGGCGATCGGGAGAGACCGCGACGTCAGGGGCAGGTCGGCATGTCCTCCTACAGGCGGAGTTTGGGCGAACAATAAAACAGATTCAAGTCATATTCAAACACAGCCACAAATAGTTGAGACAAATCGTCCCCACATTATGTGTCGACTATTTTTGAAGATTCCTTCTGTAGATGGACAGGCCCGACTTAACGTCAGGGGCCCAAGCGCGAGGGGCGCGGCCGCGGGCGCCTCGTACGGGATGTGCTGCGCCCGCGAGCCCCCGCGAAGGAGCCGTGCGCCGGGGAGCTCCTGCCAGCCGCGCGCAAGGCGCGCGACGAGAGGCGGGGGGTGGGGCGCGCGCGCGCGGCGAGCTTGGGAAGGAGGCGGAGGACGAAGGAAAGTCGAAAAAGGAGGAGGCGGAGGAGGAGGGAAAGTAGGAGGAGGAGGAGGGAGGAGGGAGGAGGGAGGAGGGAGGAGGGAAGCGGGGGGGGGGGGGAGGGAGGAGACTGAGGAGGAGGCGAGGAGGCGGAGGAGGATGACGAAGAGCAGGAGGAGAAGGAGGAAGAGGAGGACTCCCTCGTCGTCAGGCTCAGTCTGTAGGCACGGGTGCCGTCATACGGCGCTGGCATCCTCCTCTTCATCCCCCTCCTCCATCCTCCCTCCTCCCTCCTCAATTCCCCTCTTCCCCCCCCTCCTCCTCTTCCTCCCCCTACTTCTCCATCCTCCCTCCTCCTCTGTCTCCTCTCCTCGCCGCCCGCAGCCGTGGCGGACCAGGCGGCTCTACGGGGGCGTCCAGCAGTCACGCCGTCCTGCTCGGCCATCCAGGGTCGGCCTCCCGTTGAAGCTGGCCTGGAAGGTCTGGCTCTCGGGTGGCGCCGCGGCGACGCGGGTGCCACTTCCGCCACCGCTTGCCCGAGCGAGCGTCCACGCCAGCTCGGGTTGAAGCGGGCCCGGAGAGCGTCCTCCTCCTCCTCCTCCTCCTCCTCTTCTTCCTCCTCCTCTTTCTTCATCCTTATCCTCCTCTTCCCCCTCGTCTTCCTCCTCATGGCGCGACCCAGGCGGCCAATGTGATGAGGAAAACGAGTGACAAACCTCACCCTGACCCAAACCTCCGACGCATTGAATCAAGAGAAAAATTGTTCGAAGTGTTTGGCCTCTGTGGGCCCTCGCCAGGCGCAAAACCCTTACACATTATCCGTGACGATACACTGGTCTCGTCTTCCTCCTCATGGCGCGACCAAGGCGGCCAATGTGATGAGGAAAACGAGTGACAAACCTCACCCTGACCCAAACCTCCGACGCATTGAATCATTATCCCGGCAAAGCAACCTAACAGCGATGTGTAGGAGCATATCTGGAAGCATCCCCCTTAAGATTCAGATGAGAATCCAGTTGTAGAGGTCTGCTGTTCTCGCAGTCGTAGTCGCATTCGCGATGACAGTCGCAGTGGCCTGCATTAGCCTCAGCCTCAGCCTCAGCCTGCCTCAGCATCAGCCTCAGCCTCAGCTTCAGCCTGCGTCAGCCTCAGCCTCAGCCTGCTCCTGCATCAGCCTCAGTCTGCCTGCAGCCTCGGCCTCAGCCTCAGCCTGCCTCAGCCTGAGCCTGCCTCAGCCTCAGCCTCAGCCTCAGCCTGCCTCAGCATCAGCCAGCCTCAGCTCGCCTCAGCCTCAGCCTTAGGCCCCAGCTGCCTGCTTCAGGCCTGCCACCGTGCCACGGGATCTCGCCTCGGCCTTTCAGGCCTCAGGGCCTCGGCTGCCTCAGCATCAGCTTGCATCAGCCTCAGCCTCAGCCTCAGCCTGCCTCAGCATCAGCCTGCCTCAGCCTCAGCCTCAGCCTGCCTCAGCCTCAGCCTCAGTCTGCTTCAGCCTCAGCCTCAGTCTGCCTTCAGCCTCGGCCTCAGCCTCAGCCTGCCTCAGCCTCAGCCTGCCTCAGCCTCAGCCTCAGCCTCAGCCTGCCTCAGCATCAGCCTGCCTCAGCCTCAGCCTCAGCCTCAGCCTGCCTCAGCCTCGGCCTCAGTCTGCTTCAGCCTCAGCCTCAGTCTGCCTTCAGCCTCGGCCTCAGCCTCAGCCTGCCTCAGCCTCAGCCTGCCTCAGCCTCAGCCTCAGCCTCAGCCTGCCTCAGCCTCAGCCTCAGCCTGCTTCAGCCTCAGCATCAGTCTGCCTCCAGCCTCGGCCTCGGCCTCGGCCTCAGTCTCAGCCTCAGCCTCAGCCTGCTTCTGCCTCAGCCTCAGCCTCAGCCTGGCTCAGCATCAGCCTGCCTCAGCCTCAGCCTCAGCCTGCCTCAGCCTCAGCCTCAGCCTGCTTCAGCCTCAGCCTCAGTCTGCTTTCAGCCTCGGCCTCAGCCTCAGCCTGCCTCAGCCTCAGCCTGCATCAGCCTCAGCCTCAGCCTCAGCCTGCCTCAGCATCAGCCTGCCTCAGCCGCAGCCTCAGCCTGCCTCAGCCTCAGCCTCAGCCTCAGCCTCAATCTGCCTTCAGCCTCGGCTTCTGTCTCAGCCTGCCTCTGCCTCAGCCTGCATCAGCCTCAGCCTCAGCCTGCCTCAGCCTCAGCCTGCCTCAGCCTCAGCCTCAGCCTCAGCCTGCCTCAGCCTCAGCCTCAGCCTGCTTCTGCCTCAGCCTCAGTCTGCCTTCAGCCTCGGCCTCAGCCTCAGCCTGCCTCAGCCTCAGCCTGCATCAGCCTCAGCCTCAGCCTGCCTCAGCATCAGCCTGCCTCAGCCTCAGCCTCAGCCTGCCTCAGCCTCAGCCTCAGCCTGCTTCAGCCTCAGCCTCAGTCTGCCTTCAGCCTCGGCCTCAGCCTCAGCCTGCCTCAGCCTCAGCCTGCATCAGCCTCAGCCTCAGCCTCAGCCTGCCTCAGCCTCAGCCTGCATCAGCCTCAGCCTGCTTCAGCCTCAGCCTCAGCCTGCATCAGCCTCAGCCTGAGTCTGCCTTCAGCTTCGGCCTCAGCCTCAGCCTGCCTCAGCCTGCCTCAGCCTCAGCATCAGCCTGCCTCAGCATTCAAAATGTGGCCAGGGAATGGAATTCTGGGAACTCGAAGAACACGAAGTGGCCTACAGTTTGCTCCGGGCATTCAAAATCATACCCAGGAATGGATTTCTGGGAAGTCCAAGAGCACGAAGTGGCCTACAGTTGGCTCCGGGCATCCAAAATGTGGCCCGGGAATGGAGTTCTGGGAACTCGAAGACCACGAAGTGGCCTACAGTTGGCTCCGGGCATCCAAAATGTGGCCCGGGAATGGAGTTCTGGGAACTCGAAGACCTCGAAGTGGCCTACAGTTGGCTCCGGGCATCCAAAATGTGGCCCGGGAATGGAGTTCTGGGAACTCGAAGACCACGAAGTGGCCTACAGTTGGCTCCGGGCATTCAGAATGTGGCCCGGGAATGGAGTTCTGGGAGGTCGAAGAATGGAGTTCTTCTGGGAGGTCGAAGAGCACGAAGTGTGTGACTGTTTGCGAAAAACGAGGTTCCCCGGCAATCCCCAACGGCCCCCCAACGGCCCCCCAACGGCTCCCCAACGGCTGCCCAGACCCCCCTGTGGAGTAATGTGCTGCTCTCTTTTGACACCACTAGAAACATATCAGTCTTCGCTGTTAGGTAATTATCCCGGCAAAGCAACCTAACATCGATGTGTAGGAGCATATCTGGAAGCATTCCCCTTAAGATTCGGATGAGAATCCAGTTGTAGAATTCTGCTGTTCTCGCAGTCGTAGTCGCATTCGCGATGACAGTCGCAGCGGCAACGGCAGTCGCAGTCACAGCTCAGCCTCAGCCTGCCTCAGCCTCAGCCTCAGCCTGCCTCAGCCTCAGCCTGCCTCAGCCTCAGCCTCAGCCTGCTTCAGCCTCAGCATCAGTCTGCCTTCAGCCTCGGCCTCAGCCTCAGCCTGCCTCAGCCTCAGCCTGCATCAGCCTCAGCCTCAGCCTCAGCCTGCCTCAGCATCAGCCTGCCTCAGCCTCAGCCTCAGCCTGCCTCAGCCTCAGCCTCAGCCTGCTTCAGCCTCAGCCTCAGTCTGCCTTCAGCCTCGGCCTCAGCCTCAGCCTGCCTCAGCCTCAGCCTGCTCAGCCTCAGCCTCAGCCTCAGCCTGCCTCAGCATCAGCCTGCCGCAGCCTCAGCCTCAGCCGCCTCAGCCTCAGCCTCAGCCTGCTTCAGCCTCAGCCTCAGTCTGCCTTCAGCCTCGGCCTCAGCCTCAGAGCCTCAGCTTCAGCCTCAGCCTCAGCCTGCCTCAGCCTCAGCCTCAGCCTGCTTCAGCCTCAGCCTCAGTCTGCCTTCAGCCTCCGCCTCAGCCTCAGCCTGCCGCAGCCTCAGCCTGCATCAGCCTCAGCCTTAGCCTCAGCCTCAGCCTCAGCCTGCATCAGCCTCAGCCTCAGCCTGCCTCAGCCTCAGCCTCAGCCTGCTTCAGCCTCAGCCTCAGTCTGCCTTCAGCATCGGCCTCAGCCTCAGCCTGCCTCAGCCTCAGCCTGCATCAGCCTCAGCCTCAGCCTCAGCCTGCCTCAGCCTCAGCCTGCCTCAGCCTCAGCCTCAGCAGCCTCAGCCTCAGCCTCAGCCTGCTTCAGCCTCAGCCTCAGTCTGCCTTCAGCCTCGGCCTCAGCCTCAGCCTGCCTCAGCCTCAGCCTGCATCAGCCTCAGCCTCAGCCTCAGCCTGCCTCAGCATCAGCCTGCCTCAGCCTCAGCCTCAGCCTGCCTCAGCCTCAGCCTCATCCTGCTTCAGCCTCAGCCTCAGTCTGCCTTCAGCCTCGCCTCGCCTCAGCCTCAGCCTCAGCCTGCATGCATCAGCCTCAGCCTCAGCCTCAGCCTGCCTCAGCCTCAGCCTGCCTCAGCCTCAGCCTCAGCCTGCCTCAGCCTCAGCCTCAGCCTGCTTCAGCCTCAGCCTCAGTCTGCCTTCAGCCTCGGCCTCCGCCTCAGCCTGCCTCAGCCTCAGCCTGCATCAGCCTCAGCCTCAGCCTCAGCCTCAGCCTCAGCCTCAGCCTGCCTCAGCATCAGCCTGCCTCAGCCTCAGCCTGCCTCAGCCTCAGCCTCAGCCTCAGCCTCAGCCTGCTTCAGCCAAAGCCTCAGTCTGCCTTGAGCCTTGGCCTCAGCCTCAGCCTCAGCCTGCCTCAGCCTCAGCCTGCATCAGCCTCAGCCTCAGCCTCAGCCTGCCTCAGCATCAGCCTGCCTCAGCCTCAGCCTGCCTCTGCCTCAGCCTCAGCCTGCTTCAGCCTCAGCCTCAGTCTGCCTTCAGCCTCGGCCTCAGCCTCAGCCTGCCTCAGCCTCAGCCTGCCTCAGCCTCAGCCTCAGCCTGCCTCAGCATTCAAAATGTGGCCCGGGAATGGAGTTCTGGGA